TTGGGTCTGGGTTCCTCCTTTTCACCTGTTGGCTGACTGGAGTCCTGTTTGGGTTTCTTCTCTGCTTTCAGGAAGGCCCAGTTAGGATATCCACATTGCTCTAGAGCCTGTCTTGTGTAGGATTTCTCCTTCTGCCTGGCTCCTGAGTTAGTGGGGACGCTGTCTGCTCTGTGATACAGAGTCCTGATGACTCCTAACTTGTGCTCCAAAGGGTGATGGGAGTCAAACTGCAAATACTGGTCTGTGTGAGTGGGTTTGCGGTACACCTCAGTTTGCAAATGTCCTCTATCAGAGACTGAGACCTCACAGTCCAAGAAAGCCAACCTGCCATTTTTTACATCTTCTCGTGTGAACTTGATGTATTTATCCACAGAGTTGATGTGGTCAGTAAAATGTTGAGACTTCCTGAGATTTAATTTTAACCCAGGTGTCATCAACATACCTGAACCAATGACTTGGTGGTGTCCCTGAAAAGGACGTCAAGGCTCTCTTTATCACGTTATCCAGATAGTTCAATAAAGAGAGGAAAGAACACAAATTTATTGAAATGTTTTTGCAAATCATTTTCAATTTCAAGCCTGAATGCTTGATTTAGTTGACACCTGCTGTAGTAACATATCAAAATACACAGAGTCCCCATCCCCTGCGCAGTCAGACAAACCACTTCATTTTCCTGCTGCCACTGTGTCACACTGAAAGAAGATGAGGTCATATCCATGTTTTCACAGCGATGAACCGAATCCCATCACATTTTTCTTCCACTCTCTTCTTTTTAATTCAGGCTTTAATTATCATCAGAAATAGAAATACTGAAAATACAATGTGAACTTGGTGAACCTTTAATCTGAACAAACATCTCTTTGTTCAGATTTGTTCACAGTCCATACAGTTAAAGTCCAAGTTGCCTAACAAAAATAAAAGTGTAGCTTTAGTGCTTCTGTTCAAAATTTTTTACTAAAAGTAAAATTCTTGACTGTAAACCAGCTTGCATAAAGCATTTCAATGCAAGCACATATTGAAAAAAATGAAGTCCATCTATGTAAATGCTTAAACTTTACAAGTCAGTTTAATGTTTGCCAGAGCATCAAGAATGAAACAGCACTCCGGCAGTTTGTGCAAGACATTTTCCCAAAATAATTTTTTCCTACAACACACAGGTCAAAAGAAGCAATATTTGAGCATTAACTGTGCCAATGCTCCAACACTGAAGCACCCTTAATACTACTCATGAAATCTTCATGTCCGTCATTATTTTTGATTTGTTCTCCCCCTGCAGCTTTAGAAAAACACAGAACCAAGTCATGTGACATTTGGTATGAGCATATTGAATGTTGCAGAAGAAATTTGAAAAACATTCTTCTACATAACAAAAGGATTTTAAGAAAACTTGGCCATGGAGCTCTACAGCTCAGGCATATTTAACAATAAACACGTTATTCAAAAACTGAACAAGTCATAGAAAGCTGGACTTCATGTGCTTGAACCACCATTTTGATCTGTTAGGGTTTTTACACATTTGCAGTTTAGGTTTTATAATTTTAGGAGCTTTTACAACAAAATATCGAACCTATAGAGTAATGTTGCATCTTTTAATTTGTGTAGAGTTTCCAGATTTTTTTTGCTGACAACTGATTCATTTTATTCCCACAAACTTTACTCTTCTTATGTAGTTTATACAACAAAAGAGCCATTTTTGTGTGTCCCTCACTGCTTTGAGCTGAATGTTTTTCTTTCAAATTTCTCTAGAGATACTTCCACTTGAGTCTTTTTACGTGTACTGTCAGGGTGTGAAAGACACAGACATGTGGTTACCATGGTGACACTTTGAGCCATTGAAAGAAGCTTTAAAATGTATTTTGATCTCACTTCTCTTTATACTTCTAACACAGTATATATATCATGACAGTTGTGCTTTGTCATCCTAAATTATTCCAAAAGTAAATCCTGAACTAGAAAGTTCCTGGAGAAACTTTGATGGGGACTGCCACATGGCGGCCATTTTAAAATTTAGATGGCAAAAATGCATACGTTTTAGTGGTGTAACGGTACATGTGGGTGTATTTATACCGTTTTGGTACAGCATGTTCGGTTCAGTCCACGTGCGTACCGTTTCAGTTATTTTTTCACTCATTAAATTTTATTTTATTAGCGAGAGATTATGCACCGCAGAACTAAAGTTCCTAAGCGTGTTTCAGCACAGCGCTATTTATTGTTGCATAGTCTTGCAGCACGCGTAGCATTAGCAGCCTAGCATCTCATTGTGGTCTCCTGTTTGGGAACATTATGACTTTCTTGTTAAAAGACAAATGAACAAATGTTTGTGTCGACGTTGTTTCTCTGAGATTGGATCTGCAGCAGGCAACACGTCTAATTTGTTAACGCGCATGAAACATCACCCGAACGTGAACGTCTCTTCTACAGAATAGCAGCTTGGTTGGTGCAAAGACCGATAACAGCAGCATTTAAACAACCTTTATCAGGTAATTCAGATCATTCCAAAGCAATCACACAAGCTGTAGGAGTTTTTATAGCTATGGGTCTACTTCTGAATTCTGTTGTTGATGCGCCGACTTTAAAGTTCTTGAGCCCCACTACAACATCCCATCACGTCAACACTTCAGCCAAAAAGTTGTAGCAGCACTTTATGAAAAAGCTAAAACTGATATTGTCAACAAGCCCTGTACCAGATTAAAGCCCTGCCCTGATGATGATGACCGAGAGATTCAACCACCTCTTAACAGAAATGATGACTGTTCAAGAAGAGGTAATGTTATTGTATTATTGTGATCTAATTAACTTTTTTAATTTAAAATTATCGTCTTATTAACTCATTTTTTTACCTTTTTGTGTTGTTTGCAGTCTGAGGATGTCATTGAGTTCCTCTTCAGGGAAATCATTCACCAGATCACCTCCAGCTAAGAAGTCTGTGATGACTGAACTTTGAACTTTTCCAGGGACAGGTGGGAGCAGGTCTAAGAAGAGGTTGTGAGTAATGAGGTTCAGGGTGCCCTTCCCTTGAAGCTGACTCTATTCTTTGGTGGAAAGACAATGAGGCCAAGTACAGCCACACTGCAAAATTAGCAAAGCTCTACCTCTTTATTCCTGCTACTGTTGTTAGTGAGAGGATTTTCTCCACCGATGTAGATATTCACTGCAACTAGATCTGAGCTTTTGGCAGCAAATGTGGACAAGTTGGTCTTTTTTGCCTAAAACTTGATTATTTAGATGGTAAACGGTTTGTTGCTGCTTATTGTTCTGGTTCTGACTGTTATTGTATTTATTAAGATTTTTATTATTGTTAGTATAGTTTGATTTATTGTAAAGGGTGCTGTTTGTTTAAAATATCATCCAAATATGTCGCTTTTATTTATTTTTATACAAACGTATTGTTTCCTTGGCATATAAAAAAAAAACATTTTGTAAGTCTTTATTTTGACCTTTTATGTACTGAAAATTAACTGAACTGAGCCCTCCTTGAAACAGAAGTGAACAGAAACATGATTTTAGCGTACCGTTACACCCCTACTACGTTTTGATATAGAACTCAATTGTTGTTATTTTTATATTCTCTGTTATTTTATTATTTTTTTCTCTGTTATTTTTTTATACCTAGGGATTCCTTGTGTATATTCCTTTGTACTGAAACTCTGGCACAACAATTTCCTGTGGGATCAAAAAAGTTCTGTCTTATCTTATCTTATAATATGTATGTGCATCTTAACAGATGTGGTGGTAGGAAGAGTTTGTTCGATGACTTTCAGAGTTTTGTTCAGAGACCTCTTCACTGTAGGTCATGTGACCTCACTGTGGCTGTTAGAGGCTGTTGAGTTCTGTCATTTTTTCAATGATAAAAATGGCATCTTTGTTTGCGAATTACATCACCATGGTAACTCAAAATGCTAATAAAAGTAAGAGCACACATCACGGTGCCTAGCCGCTCATTTTGATATAAAATTTGTGGGGTACACATTGCGGTTTGGGCCGCTTTAAAGTTGATAAGACCCTTTTCAGGTGGATAATATTAGGGGCTGCCTTCAGGCAGTCTCCTAATATTAATGGACTTTATAGAAAAAAAAATGTATTTGTTGGACAGTAGCATCATTGGCACCTTTCAACATTTCTTCAGAAAGTTTGCAGATACTTGAACCTCAAAACAAAACTTAACAGTGGTCTCAGGATGGCAATGCCAAATCTTACCCACCAGACGAACTGATGACCACTGAACAAGTTTTGGTTCGTTAACAAAAAGATGCAGAACATCACTTAGCTGTTTTGGTGAGAAAGCGAGGATTCGTTTAAAAAGGTCACATTAAATTCAGTTCCAACAGTGCAATAGAAATACTTTAATCACAGTGTACTTGCTACTCATGAATTTAGAAAATGTCAAAGTTTATCAACAGAAGCTTGTTTCCTAAAGTCATGCAGTTCAAGAAAAAACTTGATTCTACAGGTTAGGTCAAAAATATTCATGTCCAGTGGTTTAGTTAAAGCTAGGTCCACTCAACAGGAAGATAGGAGCCTTTTAAAAGCCAATAAGGATTTTTGTCTAAAAGCAATAAACTGTTAAAAAAATAAATTGCTGAAATACACTTTCCACAGCAAGTTTTACTTTAATAAATCAAAGTTTAGCACACATATCCTAACTTCCTGTGTCTCTTCTTCAGCTTGATGAAGCTTTCCGATTAGACCTACAGAAAGCTGATCCTCCACTGGAGACCTCCTCCTGCAGTAAAAACAGCTGCAGTTTGGTGAAATAAAAAGAAAAGTTCACTTCCTGTAGAGTTCTAACTGCAGGGTGGGTTCAAGAATATGCTTCTACACTTACTGCATGTTCTTTATGTCTCCACTGGAACTGTTTACATACTTCTGTGGAGAACAACAGGTATAAGGAGTGAAAAGACCTCATGTGTCTCCAAAACATGCCTGTGGCATTTTCTCTTGAGTTCCTTCAGTACCATCAGCAGGAACAGCCATAGCCATGAAAATAAGAGAAGGCAAGACTAATGCCACGGTCTCTGCGGTGGCAGGTTGGGGTGGGGATAAATAGGCGCCGGCAGTGGATGGGGATAGGCGGGCACAGCTGTGGTGGGGTTTGGCGGATAGGTCGGCGTTGGGTACTGCGTCACGATCCGCGGTTGGCTCTGAGTAGCGGTGTGTGCCGGCGAGGTGGCTGAAGATGAGGAGGGAAGATGGAGGTAGACAGGAGCAGACGGAGCAGATGGCGCAGAGGGCGCAGTCGGGGTCGGGACCCTCTGTAAGACGACGTGTGGGTACAGCTGAGACTCGGAGCGGTACAGTCCTGGCATAGAGGCCTTCAGCAAACTTTCCTGACTCCTGAAAGAGAGGGAGACAAAGGACAACGAGAAAATATGGTTAGCTCTCAACTGAAATAAGCAGATAATATAAAATGTTAATTAAAAAACACTGTCACTGTCAAGGACCAAAAAATACCAAGACTGAATTGATGACAAACCAAGCTATGCTAGCAGCAATTAGCTTAAGATGAATGTTTTCCAGTGCATTTTTTGTTATTTTCTTTCAGCTGCTCCCTTCTTCAGGGGTCGCCACAGCAAACTAACTGGCTGGCCTTGAAGGCCACCTTATCTGAATTTGCCTGGAATATGATCTGACGCTCACCACCCCCTCCCTGGGGAATTTCCAAATGATAACCAGATGAAACCAGCTGAATAAACTTGTGTCGTCATTTCAGGACTCATAGTCGTTATTCTTGGCCATTCCCCGACATACCTCGAGAATGTTTATGGATCTCACCGGAGGACACCGGCTGATTATTCCATCCTTATCAGAACTCTTACAGTGACCTCGAGAGCATCTATGAACATGCTGACCGCTCTCGCCTCCCCCCTCTGCAGAATGCTTGTTTGTGCAAGGTGTTTTTTAATATTAGAGGGGTTTTTTCTAAGGCAGGACTAAAAAAGTCTGATAGGAATTTTTTCGCCTCCAACTCATACATGCGTCCAGTTAACCACTTTTTTGTCTGTCCGAACAGGTCTCACTTGTAAATGAGTCTTTGAGGCTCAATGTGACTTATCTGTTTAAATAAAGGTTGAATGAATGAATGAAAAAACTCGCACAGAGACTTGGTCATTTTTTTTACACCAGATGCCCTTCCTGACACAACCAAATTTCAGCTTAATATCTCTAAAAATGGCTGATTTATGGCATTTCTCATTTTTAACTCAGGAGGCCATCTTAGATTTTTAATTTGCATCAAAAATGTAGAACAACTCGCTCTCAGTTACAACCATACTAAATTTCAGCTCAATATCCCAAAGAATGACTGAGTTATAGTGAGATTTTATGTTTCATGATTTTACGATTTTATGAATTTTATGGTCTGTTTAAGTTTTATGTTTTGAGATTTGAGTTTTCTGAGATAGCTGTGGAAGCCATTTTCATCCAAAACGTCTCCAAAAGTTATCAGTTCTAGAGATACATCAGATGGTTACTTTTTTAGAGTTTCAAAAAATGACATCAACCTCTTCATGAGCTGTGGCTGTTAGAAACTAGAGGAACTAGTTAGAGTTCAGTCAGTCTTTTTCGATGAGGAAAATGGTGTAGTTGTTTGCAAATTACATCGCTATGGTAACTCAGAATGCCAATTAAAGTAATAGCACACATCACTGTTCCAGTTTTCGGTTTGAAATACAATTTGTGGGGGTACACTTTGTGGTCTGGGCCACATTAAAGTTGAAGGAAGAGCAAGGCCCTGTTCAGGTGGTTAATAATATGTGGCTGCCTTTCTAGGTAATCCTCAAAAACACAAGGATAGAAATAAGAAAATAAAAGTAACAAAAAAAAAAAAACCAGAACATTGTTGGATTTATACCTGACGATTTATACCTAAAGAACATTGTTGGATTTAAACTGGATTAATGAGCATGAACGTTGGTGAATTTGAAAAACGATTTGACAAATCCATGGTTGTAATATTCATGTCTGGCTTAGTTCAGTCTGTTTTAATTTAAAGTTGGTTCATCTAATCAGAGTCCCTTCATTTTGTCAGTCATACCAATCACATTTAATTTAAACAACATTGTGTGCATGGGGCTCTGAGTATTTAGTATTTCCCACATATGCCCAAAACAGCCTTGCTGATGATTTTGAATACAAAACTTTCTTACTTTGTGTGTTTCTCTGAGCTTAGTGTTGGAGCTCTTGAGCTTTACGAGTTTTCAATAACCTTTAGTTTCATAACTTTACAAAACATAGTTGTAACTACTAACAGTTTACCTTTGGTATCCTCTGTTCTCGTATCCACTTAGGCCTCCTGTCAGGTAGAGGGGGCTGTCAGGGGCCAGACGAGGATTCATTCTTTGGGACAAGTGGAAGATCTTAGGAGGAGGAAAGGCCTCCCACTCGCCTTCCTCTGTCTCCAACCAGCAGTCACTACGGCGACTTGATCGCTTGTCTCTGCGTCTGACAACAACAAAACTTTATCAGCTTTATAGAGTTTAAGGACGTCCAAAGACCATGTTGACTCTATTTTCTGTCCCACCTGCTTCGCACATCTTTTTTGGCACGGTCTCGACCCGATCGCTCCTGCAGGCAGCAGACGAGGAAGGATAAGGACATGGCAAAAATGACGATGCCACTCACCACCGAAGCCAACACGGCAACTCTCAGTCCACGGTCTTCTGGTCTAGGGATTGCTGTTGTGACAAAAAAAAAAAAAAAAAAGACTGGTCATGGTGGGAGGTCATTGAGTTGTTTCTCATTTCAATCTTTGTCCTCTTTGTCCAGTAATGTATAGACACATTCACATAGAAAAAGCAAAAGTAGGACATATCAACCATTAGAAAAATATACAAAATTATGACAATAGTGCATGTTGGACATCCAAACTGGAGTCCAGCTTGCTTGATATCAATGGTTAAATCTTCACACCTTCACAAACAGGCAGGTAGTTGCTCCACTGTGCCTTGCCTCTTCTGACATCGCAGTAGATTTTGTCACTGCCGACCAGCTGGTACCCCTCTCTGCACCAGAAGGCCAACACACTGCCGACTGACACGCCTGTCCCACTCTCCACATAGAAGGAACCCCGGCGAGGTGGCAGGACAGGAACACAGGACAGACCTGATCAAAGAGGACACAGTAGCTAAGAAGAACAAAAACCATAGGAACCTTTTGAACTGAACTCAAAGTGACTAAACTGAAAATAATAATAATAATAATAAATTGGACAATGCATTTTTTTAAAGGTAGGTGAAACTGGAGACATTGCTAGACATCAAATCATAATGGAGTTGTTCAGGGTAACAAGTCACTTCCTAAAACTGATTCCCATATTGGGACTTTGAATGTACCTCAGTTTATAGCATGTGCTCAGTATTTATTAACCTTTATTTAACCTGGCAGATCCCATTGAGATCACAGACCTCTTTTGCAAGGGAGGTCTGGACCTGAAGGTAGCCTAATACGCAAGTTTTTTGGTCCATTAAATATTTTTTTAATTGTGTTTCTGATGTCAATACATTTTACAACATGGTGCTGATGACTAATTACAACAATTATTTTAGTTATATTTAGTACAGAAACAGCTATATGTTGCTTTATTGTTTAATGTTTGTACAGCCCATCCATCCATCCATCCCTCAATTATCTTCTACCCGCTTCTTCCATTTTGGGTCACGGGGGTCGCCGGTACCCATGTCCAGCAATCAGTGTGCGAGGAGCGGGGTACACCCTGGACAAGTCACAAGTCCATCACAGGGCGTTTGTACAGCCCTTTACAGTTTATTTAGTACAGACGGGCTGGACTGAAACAAATTTTAGACTTTTCTAGCATAAAAACTGTTACATTGTCAAGACTGTTGTTAATATCTAGCATCTTTTAGTCTTACCAAAAAGGTCCATGTTCAATAATCCAGGTATACAATCCAACAATTTTCAGTCAGGTCATCTGGACAATTTCTTTTTTTTTGGCTGAAATGTTTCACCTTCCATCCAGAAGGCTTCATCAGTCAAGGAAACACACAACACAAAACTGATTCTTCCCCCAAACAGCTTACTCCAAAGTGGAACAAATATTGTAAGATTGTATACCTGGATTATTGAGCATGGATCTTTTTGTTTTTGAACCAGTTTGACATGACTGTCGACGAGGAAGAGGGCCGGCACAAGAGGAGGGGGCGTGCCAAAGACACCATCTTAGCACCAACATAACTGGTTTGTTCCACTTTGGAGTAAGCTGTTTGGGGGAAGAATAAGTTTTGTGTTGTGCGTTTCCTTGACTGATGAAGCCTTCTGGATGGAAGGTGAAACGTTTCAGCACAAAAAAAGAAACTGTCCAGACGACCTGACTGAAAATTGTTGGATCTTTTAGTCTTCTTCAAAAAGAAGAAAAGTTTTTAACAATGTTAAAGACCATAAACTCTTAAAGCAGTACTATTTGGTTCCCTCTGAAAACACTTTTTTTTTATCTCCTTTCTCCAACTTGTTTTCCCCTCTCTTTTCTCTTGCTTTGTTCATGTTCGATACTCAATAAACTCATATTGATTCAGATTGTCTGTTATCCAATCTGAGATTAGCATTTCCACTGGTGAGTGGGCAGTGACGTATGAACTGAGAGGCAGAAAGTGCTATTTTTATCCTCCTCGTGCTAAGATACAGATACTGTATGTCTGAGAAAACGCATGACGCTGCAGCTATTATTAGATCGTGCTGCAGAGATTTAAACACACAGCCATAATAGTTAAATATCTTTTCATTTTATTCATTATGAAAAGATAATAAAGGTTTGATTTTGTCACATTTAAACTACTCAAATCTTCAAAATTTCCAAGTACTTTATTCAAACGCTATTTAAACATTTTGCCAACATCGCCACCATTATTTTGTGACTTGACTTCAAGGTGATGAAAAGGTTTGTAAAACAGAAATTTAATTTTTAACCCATATATTGCCCTATACCTTTATAAATATTCATGTTCCTTAAAAGAACAATCGATCTTGTTTAAAAATACTATTATTTGAAATAGATTTTAATCAAAACAACTAGTAAATCATTTAGAAGTATCTCAGTCTAAAATAAAAATATCAAATTTAAATGTCTTTTTTTTTTCTTCAAATTTTAACTCTAAGGGTCTTTTGTTTGTTTTGTTAAAAACCCTCCATATTTCAGTTGATTAAAAATTCACAAAATATTTATTTTATGGCAATTTTTGACAATTTCCCCCCCTATTAGAACACTGAAATGATATTTTGACAATTCATCAAAGTAAAAAAAATCCAGTCCAGAGTTTTGTGACAACCCTCCAGACCAGACCTTCAGTATCTGTAGCTGAAAATGAGGCCTTGTTTTCAGTCAACTCGTATCTTCCAGTCATTCTTTTTCTAATAATTTTTAATGATGATTTTCTTCATATTAAAAAAAAAAAACTCTGCCTGTGATACAAAGTAGAATCGCTAGCTTTTGAATTGTTTTTCACCTGTATTGACCCGGATATACGAGTCAGCTGCAGGTGCACGTTACATCCGGTAATCGCTTCCTGCCTTCAGTTAAACCGACGGCAGTCAGCCGCTGTCAGCCATGGAGCATTTCAATCTGCAGCCTGCATGCACGTGGAACAAATGTTTAGTAGTAATGTTAAAATGTTTGCTTGTGCACATTATACGTGAGTTTTTACACTTTACATGCAAACTAAAATGATTTTGTTAAACGAGATGAGAGGCGGGACTCTGCAGCGACTCTGGACAGAGACGAAATAATATTTCTGGTATGAACCGAAGGTGGATTTTTTTAGAGTCTCTCAAATATAAAAGTGGATCACCACCCTGTGAGCTAATATATGAATAAAAATTTCAGTAACAAAGATAAAAAGAAAAAACATTACTGAGAGGAGTGCTTTATTTTATGATTTGATAAATATGAGTTAAAATTAGTTTCTACTGTGTATTCTAATGTGGCCGATTTTTCACGCCAGAAACACAAGAGTGTAGTAAAGTTACCATAGGAGAGCATTAGAAAAAAAAAAATGATGACAAAAATGTTTAAAGATAAAATGACTTTTAGATTAAAAATATGTTTATTGACGGCACCAAAATAAATAAATAAATAAAAGCACAGACACAAATGTGAGGCTGATTTTTCTCTAAAAGATGATACAAGGGTTAACTAGTTGTTTAAAGCCAGTACTAATTTTATTAGTTTTTTTTAACTAGCTATTAGCTCATCAATCCTGTTAAGCTTAAACTCTTATTTGGTCAAACCATCTACCACAGGTAAGACATTAACTGATCGTAAGTTTTGCATAAAACACTTTAAATAGGTTAAAGTACTGCTTTACTTTAAAACAAAGAAAAAAAAGTCTTACAATTTGACTTGTACACTTTAAAAAATTTAATCACTTTTATTATTCCACACAGACATCATCTATAGAGGCAGAATACCCCACTGCTCTTGTGGTACAGGCTAAATACTAGCATTTTAATGGTTAGTGGGTCTTTTATTTTGAAAGGATCCCTCTGCACTTTGCTTAGTAATTTCTATTGTAAAACAAAAACAAACAAAAATATGTGCAGCTTTATATCATTGTTGTATTTGCTTAATGTTAACACAATGAGCAACGTCCAACGTGTGTGTGCTGCATGATGCTTTAGTGTCAGTGTTAGTGTAATCTGTGTGTGTTTCTGTGGGGGGGTGTCATCCTGCTACAAGACCCTGTGAACATACAAGCTGCTCTCGGCTGATTAGGAGCGACAGATGGGAGGATTTCTGGAACAGCAGAGTCTCTCCCGTGATCCTGTGCAGAGATGATGGCATCCCCTCCCTCACACACATCAAAGCACACACACACACCAGACACGTGCAGGAGGCGTACAGTACAGTACCGGCAAAAAGGGACGAGCTGGCTCCATTTTTATTAAATGGGAGACTCTAAAATCCATTCTTTCTTTGAGGAAACTGATGCTTCCAATGTCCACAGCATGAACTTATATGATTATAATGATGAATTCTACCAAAACACTAGTTTTAATTTGCTCATATCTCAACTTTAATTAACATCTGTTCAAGCCATAGGCTATTCCACTCTCGCAGTACGTGTACTAGATTTGCTGTAACTCTTCCCAAAGTTTAGAATGTGTAGAGTCAAACTAACAGAAACACACGTTTAAACTTTTTTCCACTGGTCACTCACTGGCAAAATATAATTAAACAAGCAGCCAGACTAATGAAGATAAAATAAAACTGTATGTGTTGAAAGGTTATGTAGCTGTACTGCAATGATTATTATGTTATTATCTAATAGAGGATGTGGTTGACAGTCCAGGTACATCCTCGAAAGTGTAAGTGCTACGTATTATCAGTGCACGTTCCAGATGACTTGTGTACATTGGTGCTTGAAAGTTGCTGAACACTTTAGTATTTTCTGCATAAATATGACCTAAAACAACAGATTTTCACACGAGTCCTAAAAGTAGTTAAGCAAAGGAGACAAAAAAATGTTATCCTTGGTCATTTATTTATTCAGGAAAATGATTCAATATTAAATATTTGTTCAAGTTCAACTTCAAGTAGTTTTATTGTCATTTCACCAAATGTGGTACTTGAGGTGGAATGAAATTGTGTACACAGAGTCCCAGTTACATCCAACAATAGCAAAAATATAAATTGTAAAAAGAAACAGTATATAAGGATCGAAGATATACGCTAAACACTAATGGTGTAAAACAATACACCGATGGTACACACATTGGAGGCAATTAGGGGTTCACTGTCTTGCCCAGGGATACTTTGGCATGTGACTGCTGGTGGAATCGAACCCCCAACTCTCGCATTGGAGGACGACTGCTCTAACCACTCAGCCACAGCTGCCCATAATGATAAACTATGATCAATTCCTTATTGTTGGGGATTTTAACATACATGTATGTTGTACAGAGAAACCGCTGGTGAAGAACTTTCTCAGCCTCACTGACTCTTTTAACCTGGTTCAGAGGGTGGCTGGTTCCACGCATGAACAAGGACACGCAATGGACCTGGTTCTCTCTCATGGTTAGTCTGTGACCGACCTGGAACTATGGCAATGTGATTACTGATCATAGGCCTGTTTTATTTGATGTTGGTTTGTTCTGTGGTGCAGTTAAATCCTGCAATCCTGCCAGCGATGCAAAGTTTTTAACCCTTCCACTGCTGGTCAGTTTTCTGCTGCCAACAGTTCTGACTCTGCTGCTGAGCTCCTGGTTTGACTCCTCCTGTCAAACTATTCTGGACTCTGTGGCTCCATCCTCACTGGGATTATTTTAATAGTATATTTAGCTAACCTGTCCACGTTTTTCTGTAAGCTCAGCTTTGGTTTTGTTTTTATCGGTCAGTTTGCTTCGATTAATAAGCCACCATGGACTTCAGAGCCTTCCTGTGTCCTGCATACTCCTGTATCAAAAAGTTTGTAACCGACGGAACGAGTTTGGAAAATGCACATTACCTGAGGACTGTCACTTGACAAACTCTACTGTTTAACCTTTCATGATACCTTTTTAATACAGTAATTTTTTTAACTCCTGCCCCTTTAAGGCCCCCTTCTGAACACAAGTCTAACCTGCTTTGAATGTTGAGCTGATCAGTCAAAAATGGCTGAACTGTGAGGCAGGCGCTCAGACTTTGTCATTCTTTATCTGAGGCTTGATGCACAAGTCACAGAGTAACACATTGCAATCAAAGGATCCATTGCCAAAGAAAATCTTACTTTAGGTTTTATTCAACACCTCATTGATTTGTGAACCTGCACCTCCCCCCACACCCAAGCCCTGTAGGATTTTTAACCCTTCCACCGCCACACTCTTCTCTTCCATCTTTGCTAGTAATTCTGTTTCAGACTCTGAACTCTCTGTGGGTCTTACTACAAAGGAGTTGC